TGTCTGATTTGACTACAACATTTTTCAATGTTCCTGAAACTTCTGATGTTTCTCCATATCTTTTGTATGATTCTGTTCCTCAAACATCTCGTTTGTCTTCTGATACTTTTATGGAGCAACATCATCTTGAGTCCAGTTCTTTTTCTAATACCCAGGAAACCTCTGCTTCTGGTAGTAATTCTGGTAATGATGGAAATAGATTGGATCAAATAGTTGATTCTGAACACATTGATAGACCGACTAGGCAGACACGAACTCCAGCTTATCTTGAGGATTACCATTGTTATTTGCTCACCCATTCTCATCCCCCTTCTTCTCCATCCACCTTATATCCTTTATCTACCTGCTTATCTTATGATAAGATTCACCCTCCATATAAGAACTTCATTTTGAGTATCACCACTTCTAGTGAACCTCGAACATTCTCCCAAGCTGTAAAATCTGATCATTGGAAGGATGCTATGTTACTTGAACTGCATGCTTTGGATAGAACTCAGACTTGGACTGTTTGTTCACTACCGAAAGGGAAAGTTGCCATTGGATGCAAATGGGTGTTTAAGATAAAGTATAATCCTGATGGTAGTGTGGAGAGACATAAAGCTAGACTTGTAGCAAAGGGTTATACTCAGCAAGAAGGGATTGATTATTTAGAAACTTTTAGTCCAGTGGCAAAGATGACATCAGTCCGGTTATTGTTGGCATTAGCTGCTTCTTATAACCTTTTGTTACATCATATGGATGTTTCAAATGCTTTTCTGAATGGAGATCTTGATGAAGAGATTTATATGACCTTACCACCTGGATATGCAACACTTAAGGGGGAGTCTGTTGCTGAGAATTCAGTTTGTAAACTGCAGAAAAGCTTGTATGGTTTGAAACAAGCTTCTAGGCAGTGGAATCAGAAATTAACAAATGTGTTAGTTTCTGCTGGTTACATTCAATCTCAATCTGATTTTTCGTTATTTGTCAAGCACAAGGACAGTTATTTTGTAGCTGCTCTAGTGTATGTGGATGATATAATGATTGCTAGTAACTGTGATTCTTTGGTAAAGGAGCTTAAGAAGGTGTTGAGTGATAATTTTCAGATTAAGGATCTTGGAGATTTGAAATACTTTCTTGGTCTCGAAGTGGCTCCCCCGGGGGAAGGGTTGTATATTTGTCAAAGAAAATATACATTGGAGTTGCTTGATGAGTTTGGCATGCTTGGTTGTAAACCTGTTGCGTCGCCTATGGAGTTGTCACAAAAGTTGTCTCAGGATTCTGGTGATTTGTTGGAAGATGCTTCATTTTACAGGAAACTCATTGGGAAACTCATATATCTTTCAATTACCAGACCAGATATATGTTTTTCGGTGAATAAGCTGAGTCAATACATGGCTTGTCCACGTTCTGGACATCTCCAAGCTGCTTATAGAGTGCTTAGATATTTGAAGTCTGATCCAGCTCAAGGTTTGTTGTACAGTTCTGACTCGGTGAGTAAGCTCAGTGCGTATTGTGATGCTGATTGGGCGGCATGTCCGGATTCCCGACGTTCTGTTACAGGTTATTGTGTTTTCCTTGGTTCGTCTTTGATATCATGGAAGGCGAAGAAACAAGTTACTATTTCTCGGAGTTCTACTGAGTCAGAGTACAGAGCTATGGCACAAGTTTGTTGTGAACTGGTATGGATTCATTCGCTTCTGAAAGATTTGCGTGTTTCTATTCCTTTGCCGGTTCCTTTGTTCTGCGACAATCAATCGGCAATTCATATTGCTAACAATCCAGTGTATCATGAGCGGACAAAGCACATTGAGCTGGATTGTCATTTTGTTCGGGAACAATTGAAGTTGGGATTTGTCAAGCCATTGCATATTTCCGGGAAAGATCAGATTGCTGATATCTTGACGAAGTCGACGAGGGTTGATCATTTTCGGTCTCTTCTGTCCAAGATGGGTATTCATCACCTGTATACTCCATCTTGAGGGGGAGTATTAGGGAGAAGAATTTCTCAGCGAAAGTGGCAGAGACGAAGGTTGAAGATGAAGTCCGGTTATTGTCGAATTCCATTTTTTGGTTTAGACTTGGTTCGATTTTCCGGTTTTGTGTTTAGTTGCATTTTTACCATTTTGCCCTTTATTTGAATTTTTGTTTTTAGGCGCTCGATTGTTTTCGAGTATAAGAACCGAGTTGTTTTTCATTTTGAAAGATTAAGAGAAAATTTTCACAGATTCTGTTTCTCGATTTCAAATTCTGAAAAGATCTTCTCTGATTTGCGGAAGTATATAACACATTTTCATCTTGATGTACAATGTTTCACACTATATTTATTTTTTTAGTATATCATTATAAAAAAATCAGCAAAAGATTCAATTAGCAATTGCCTTAGGTTAAAGTGATCATTACAAAAATAAATATATTCAGATTATGATACTAAAATAAATAAATACAAGGACGAGAGAAGCAATTTACTTCGAGACGGTGTATCTCCCTCACGTGGTCTCACTCAGGATCAGGTGGTGGGTCCCACGGAGAAATCCATCTTGGACCGTCGGATCTCATCACACTGATGATCGATCGACGGTGGGACCCATTGGCGGGTCATGAGAGAGAAATCAATTATTATATTAATCGATATTTAAAAAAAATAAAATAAAAGTAGTAACCCTAAACCCTAAGAAATCATTTTGCTCTCCGATGGACCACGAAAACAAAAAGGGAGTAATAAAGTAATGAAGAATTGAAGATGAGACATGAGAGGAATAGCAAAAGGCGAAGGGTAGAGATGGACAAGACAACGAGGGGAACATGTTGCATTGCATGTGATGAATCTTATAAATAAATGATTATGATATATAAATATGTTTAAAAAAAAAATAGAGGGACATATGTTTTCAATCTCCGGTTAATATATGGATGTTATTATTCTATGGATTTTATATTATGGTAGCAGAAGAAAAACCCAGAATTAATCATGTGTTTATTGAAAATCCCGGATGTGGCATGCTCTTCGTATATATATATATATATATAGTTAGATTGGGAAATTAACAAATATCCAAATTGATAATTTATTTATATGAACTCATAAAAACTTTGCTGCCACATGTATCATATAATATACAGATTCTTGACAACTTTTTTTAAAATGCCATGTAAACTACTATTTGTCGACCGTGTAATTATATATATATA